CAAGGACGCTACTAGGGGCTCCTGGCCTTACTACTAGGAGCAAGGACACTACTGGGGGCTCCTGGTATCGCTACTAGGCGCCAGGACGCTACTAGGGGCTCCTGGTATCGCTACTAGGAGCAATGACGCTACTAGGGGCTCCTGGCCTTACTACTAGGAGCAAGGGCATCGCTACTAGGGCCTCCCGGCGTTACTACTAGGAGCAAGGACGCTACTAGGGGCTCCTGGCCTTACTACTAGGAGCAAGGACGCTATTAGGGGCTCCTGGTATCGCTAAACGCTCAGAGGACTGGCGCTGGCGTTTGCCCTTCGCTGGGAGCTTCACTGGCTGCCGGCATTGGCTCCGGGTGCCCTTCAAGCCACAAGCCTGGAAAACTGGGTGGAACAAGGCCAGTCTGGTCCACGAAAGGAAGCAATTAACAGATTGGAAGTAAAGGAAGGTGTTTTGTTGGAGGAAAACAAAAGTTTGCTCTAAAAAAACATGACACCTTGAACATATTGGAGTTCCCAACATTGTTTACCAGGAAACCGCTCTAGTCTACATCTACTCGGTCATGTTTAGCGGCTTTAGCGATGTTCTTGCTTAGACGTCGCCCCTTCGACCATCTTCGATGACCTTTCACGCTGAAGGGCGCCAAGTTTGGTGGCCGCATGGCCATTGCGATCCTCATCGCTGAAATCATCTATGATCCTCGGAGACGACACACGGCATGTGGACCATGTGGACCCGGAATTTGGACTGGAAGACTGTGAAAAAAATGGGTATTCCAGTAGTGGAGGAAGATTAAACAGTAGACTGGCTGCAAAGAGCGCCCAGGGCCACAGTGTTCAAGGGCCACAGTCTTACTGCGAACTAAAACTATAGTAAGTTGGACCATTGGAGTTGTTTCGGATGGATCTTGTGCTCAAGCCCAGGTGAATGTAAAGCCCCATCTTCCAGAGGAGAGGGGGGCCATGTTTGGGTTATCGGTTTGTGTTTGCAAGCACAGAGCCTTCAAACTCTGGACGTAAAAAACGTGATTTTTGCTGGGACCTCTTGGGATCCCTTCATTTGTTTCTGTTTTTTCAAATCGTGTGAACACCATTGAACACCGCTTCAGAACTGCGACCGATTGATGCCAGTCACTTTTTCGGGTAAGCGTTCCTCGAGGGCCTTGACAGGATGAAGACGGCTTGTGGACCTTGATCACTGTCACAATGGCCGTCACCCCGGTGGCCGGAGACTCTTGGCCAGTTTGCTTATCGAGAAGGGGTGTTTCCAAGCAGAGTCCACCGGCTTTATCCTTGGGGAGACAGTTTGGCTTGTTTGAGATGTCAGCCAACTGGAGGTGGCCCCGTGACTTACCGTCAGTTATTTTTGCATCCAAATGCCTCATTCGACTGGTGGATTCTAAACTGAAGCATTCACATCGAACCAACGATCTTGAATGCCTTTTTAAATGTCCAACCCTGAAAAAAAGATGATACATGCACACAAATTCAACAAAATATGACTTACATCAACTTACATCACATAAAGCTGCAATCAATCACAACGATCCCCAAAGAAGCCCTTGTCCTATCCAAGAACTCGATCTTCCGGGGCCTTTTGCGGCTGTTTGGAACCTTCCTTGGAGCTTTGCTGGCGGTGGGCACTGTGGCGCTAGGCGGCACCAAACACTGCATCAATAATGGATGTGTAGTTGGATATGTCAATGATATGTATAATTACTTAAAGATGTTCATGTCATATATGTCTATTTACACATGCATTATCATGCATATAGTACTCCTAAGATGTGTATTTCTTGCAAGTAGCCATGATGCCAGCAGCGTCGCCCTTTTTTTGTTGCAGGTGGAAGTGCTTACACACAAGCGCCCTCGGTGTTCATCATGGCATTCTTCAACAAGTATTTCGAACAAGAGACTCGGCCTTTGCAATGTCTACCCTCAGCTGGGCTAAGTAGTAGTCTCCTCATGTTGGGTCAACCCTGCAACATGGAGACCACACCACAAATCAACGCACCCTGATGCCGATCCGAAAGCCGAGTTTTTGGAGCTTAACAGATATTTTTTTTCCGGAGGGCTTCCAGCATTCCCGTATTTGAGTTGTTTCAAGTTGTTTCAGTCACCTGCGGGTCCAAAAAAACATATTGCCACCATGGATTTGTGGAATTCACCTGTGTTGCTTGCTTTCTCCACATTTGCAAGAGAACATCGTCACCTGGTACTCGTAGCTCCTAGGCGTTCTGTCAGTTCATAAATGAGATTGATTTGCGCCTGGACCCAATGCTGAAGTGATTCAGGATGTGCCCAGCGGCAAAATTGGGTGGGTGGTCTTCCCAGATCCTTCCAGGCTCAGCATTTTTGATACTAGTAGTAAGGCACTTGTTACTACTAGTAAGGCACTTGTTTCTAGTAGCTTCTTGTTACTACTAGTAAGGCCCTTGCTCCTAGTAGCGAGGCACTTGTTCCTAGTTGCGGTTCTCGGGTATTCGCATGTTTGGCCATTGCGGTGCCACGACGGATACGATCGGCTACCACGACCACTCTGCTTGACATCGCTAGTTCACGAGGAGCTGCAGTTTGCTGGGATGGCATCTTGGCATGTTTGGGGTGGGGCCAATGCCAAGCTTTTTGGCACAGGGACAGAAGTCAAAGGCAACAAATTTGATTATGATTATTATTATGATGTGTTTGGCTGTCCCACGAACAAGGAGGCATAGTTGCGATCCCTCACAAGGATCACAGTTTGTTGTAAATTGTAAGGTGTTCGTTGGTAACCACTGTGGTTAAAGCAAAGACAAGATTGCGAAAAGCTGTTGGCCTGTGGAGATGTCAGGGGCTCTTCGCCCTTTCATTGTGATTTCTTGTGGTTGAGAACCCCGTCCCGAGGTGTTTCCATGACTACGCATTCTACCCGCCATGCCGAACTTCGAATTGAGATGCAGGGATCTTCCTTCGATAATGCCGAAAGTTCTTGATCAATCCGGACAGCTTTGCGAACATGTGAAACACGATGAGCGATGAGCATGTCTCATGACAAACGGGACCTAGCCAGTGGACCAGAAAGCATCCGACCAGGTCAACTTCACCACCTATGTAGCTGAGCTGCAAGGGTTTGCGCCGGTCCGCACGCGGCGTCGTCGTGCGGTTTTGTGTTGCACCAGCCGTATGTTTCAGAAGTAAGCTCCTTCTTCCGAACTTATTTGTGGGGGTTGGCGGGTATCCTGGTTTTGCTCAACCAGCTCCTGGAGTCTTCTTGTATTGGAAGAAGATCCGCTTGGATACATGTCCTGGTAACTTGCACCCTTTCAGATAGTGTAGTGAGCATCCCAGAAGACGTTGACATTCGAAACAAATCCTTCTATACCAGAATTCACTTGTCGTGCTAAGCTCAAACATCAAGACAACAACCTCTGCACCCCACCCTCAGAGCCGATGCTTCTCCCAAAGTTCCGGATTTGCTTTCGCGATTTCCCTTCAGTTGGAGGCCATTGCTATTAGATTGAAGGTTACCGATGAGGGGCTTCAAACCTTGGCGTGATGCGGCTATCGTGTGCATGAACAGAACATTGCCAAGATTTACCGTCTGCAAGTCTTGGGGAGATCCTCTGGGCAGAAGTGCCTGCTGTTTCAAACAATCCTCCCACATTTGTTCATTGCCAGCTCCCCCAGCCCAAAGAAATTGAGCGGCAGACCCTGTGACACTGTCCCGTTGCCCGACCGAGGTCATTGTCTTGAACACCTTGGCGGATCGGAATGACCCGGCGCCTTGGTTGACCCGGTGCATCAACGTCGCCGGCTCGGCTCGGCTACGGCGACACGGAGGGCGTGGGTTGGTGGATGCCATCGCTAGTAGGTTGGAGGCCATCGCTAGTAGGCTGGAGGTCATCGCTAGTAGGTTGGAGGCCATCGCTAGTAGGCTGGAGGTCATCGCTAGTAGGTTGGAGGCCACCACTTTTAGCTTGGAGGCCATCGCTTTTAGCTTGGAGGCCACCACTTTTAGGTTGGAGGCCATAGCTTTTATGTTGGAGGCCATCGCTAGTAGGTTGGAGATCATCGCTATTAGGTTGGAGGCCATTGCCGGTAGGTTCAAGGCCATCACTAGTAGGTTGGAGGTCATCGCTAGTAGGTTGGAGGCCATCGCTAGTAGGTTGGACCCCATCGCTAGTAGGTATGAGGCCACCACTTTTAGGTTGGAGGCCATCGCTTTTAGGTTGGAGGCCATCGCTAGTAGGTTGGAGGCCATCGCTAGTAGCTTGGAGGCCATCGCTAGTAGGTTGGAGGCCATCGCTCTTAGCT